AACAGGAAGGCAGTGGAACTTGTGCAAGACAAAATATTCATTGCAGTTTGTGGATTGCCCTGTAGTACCTCTGTGCTATCTGTGTATTATATCAATCCCAAAGTTTTTAGTGTGTTAGACCTGGAAAAAGTGTGGGGGTTTAAAATTATTTATTTATTTATTTATTTTATGGTGTTGATATTAATGAGGACATTTTCTTGGCTCCAAAGGTATTTAATTAATCAGTAGAGACAGCATAAGGAATTTCATTTAGTGCATCCTGTGGTTATAGATTCACTGAATCCACCTTAAAATAAGGTAACATAACAACTAATGTAAGTTATTGTCTGTATTGTCTGTGATGGAGTTTTTAACTTAAATGAAGGTTTCCCCCTTGTGGTAATGGTGCAATTTACCCCTTGCCTAAAATCTTTTCCTGTTCTCTGTCTCCTTTGTGTCTCTCCATACTGCCCTTGTGTGCTATGAGCCAGAACTACAGCATGGGAGAATGGCAGCCAATATTTTATTCTCAACAATTCTGTGGCATAGGGGAAGGCGACGGATGCCCTGAAACATTCCCATATGTATAAAGGGACTTTGATGCAAAAATAGTGCATGCTGTATACCAGACTTCCAGGCTTTCACTTCCAAAGTGGCTTGTTTGGGTGCCTGCATTCCTTTGATGTCTAGGATCCAAGTCAGATTTGGGTGAAAAAGGGTATGTAAACCTACTGACATATTTTGAGAGAAGTGTGGTTACTCACCATAATCCTGTTTGTTCAGTTATTTACTGCTACCTTATGGTCCCCGACACCAGCAATGGTGTGTGCCAGCCCATGCCCTGCAGGTGGAAATGTGTGTGGTAATTTCAAGAACTACAGCAAAGTTTAACTAAAGTCTGCTTTGTGATCTCAAATGAAGAAGGGAAAGGATGTTTTCAAAGGTTTGTTTTTTTTTTCCCTTTGTCTAGAAATATGTTTGTATGAAAAGACTTCTAATAACAGCACTCAATCTAGCAGAGCAGAGTATTGCAAGTGCCAGAGAAGATGGCTGAAATACACAAATCCATGCTAGGAAAAAAACCCCTTCAGATAATTGTTAGACCTGTGTCTCTTGCCTTGAAATGCACTGGATCCAAGGTTACTTTCTGAAGAGCTGCTGTAACCCAACAAGCTTCATAGGTTAGTGCCCTGGGGTGAAACGTTCTGGACTGTCTTCTGCCAGGACTGAAAGCACAGGTTCGTAATGAGGCATCTTAGCCTTACAATAGATGAACTTCAATACTGGCTGATTAAAAACGCCCCTTTTCGTAAAAAATTCTTTTTTTTTTTATCAGACTAAGTGCCTTCTCTGTATAGATGACAACAGTAAGCCTTTTCTGGTAAACGTTTTCCATGTTTGCTTTTATTTTCTTTAGACAACTGATATGGTTTATATATCCTATATGAGCAAGTATTGCACATCACTTGCATCTGCAAACAATTGTGGCTTATTTATTTTTTACTTTTTAATTTTGCTTTGCACTGTGTACCATACCAACCGGGGAGCATCCATGCTGGGCAATCCCAATGGATTCTTCACCTGCTGAACCCCTACTGATTCCTCGGTTTTCTCCTCTGTAAGAAGGGGCTCATCCAAGCCTTTGAAGCTACTGTTGAGAGTTGGCAATACTGTTGGTAGAGGTCTTCTGATTTCTTGCCTGGCATAAACAGACTGTTGCTTCCCTGGGATCGTTTTCTGTCTCCATTTAACTCTTCCCTGCTCTCTTGATGCAGTTCTTAATTTCTGCTACTGCATGCCAGCAGAGCTAGTGGCATGAGACTGAGCACGTTTGTCTTGGGGCCTGTTTCTGGAATGACTCATTTCAGAATTACTAAAACATGACTCTAAAGTTTGTCAGTAAGAAAGTTGGTTACAGTAAATGAAGGGGATGAGCAGTCAGTCTACATGGTCCTGCCCCCTCTCTGTTATTCACATCCCCTTGAGGACTGTCAGGACAACTCTTGTTGCTTTGCTCCTGCTCTTACCACAGGAGATGTTTCCTACCAAGACTCAAATGTATCCTCAGCACCACTTACTTACATTCCTGCACAGATTATAGCTTCTTTAATAAAATGAAGGCAGGATTTTAGATTTATTCTCAGCCTGCTGTATGTTATACTGTTGAAATGCTACAAGTGTTTTTTCATAAGGATCAACATCCAGCAAGGTCATACCACCCCCTCATGGATAACAGGACACATCCAAATGGTGAGTTACCTCAGCAAAAAGTGGACAATCTTTGAGCACTGATGACCCACTGAAGTCTCTCCTGTGATGAGGCTCTCCCTGACAGATCAGAGAAACTTGCTGGTAACTGCAGTCACTGTGAATCTTTTTGTATTGTTTTCTTTCTCTTGGATGTCACCACATAAAAAATACTTATTTTTGAGTGAATTATTGAAGTTTAATAGCATAGACACTGGCAGTTGGAAGTATAGAGTGGTGTTATTGCTGATGGGCTGATTACTGAATACCCTACCTTACAATGAAGCTAGTATTTCAGGGTACTTAAAGCAGGAACCTTGCCTCAGTTAGGCTTCCACACTCTTGTGATTTGCTTAATCATTTGTGCACTGCTAAATAGGCACTTGTGGATGGTCCCTGTTAGTAAAGCACATTTCATTAGCAAAACTTCAGGACCTCCCTTGTGTTGGAATGTCTGTTCATAAATGCGTCTGAAGTTTAGTGGCACACCTTGAGGAAACGTATGGAAATCCTGCAGCAGAAAACAAACTGTGAATACTGAACTATGAGAGGAGTGGGAACGGATGCTTGTATTTTTGTAGAAGTATAATGATTTTACTTTTAGCTTGAACAGATTCAGAAATTCCCTTTGGAGAATGGAGAAGAAAAAAAAAAAGCATCCATCCTTCCATCCTTTAATTTCTTCTTTGGGGCCTTGGCTTGGCTGCCTTCAATTATGGGTGGGAATTCTGTGTGTGTGTAAACAAAAACCAAATGAACAAAAGCCCTGTTTTTAACTTGTCACTTAGCCTTTGCTGAATTTAATACCATACAAATTACATTGTTATGGATTACACAGAATTTTTCAGGAAGATTTTGTGGACTGACAACAACTGATCTGGATTTTTTTGTTTTGGTTTGGTTTTGTTGTTTTTTTGGTTTGGTTGTTTTTTTTTTTTTTTTTTGGGTTCTACATTAAACCTGTACTTCTGTGACAGGCAGCTGCCCCAGATGCAGGAACTGAAAATATCATAAAACAGGGCTGCTGAAATCTGTAACATTGGCACTACTGCGCTGGGTTTGCCTAGAGCTGGGCTTGGATGAAGCAGCAAAAGCACAGAACAGGAGCTGCTTTGTTATGGGTAATCCTAAACTCCCCAGGGCTGGAAGTTGTAGAGTATCACACCATGCATTATAGATGCAAAGACTTGCACACACACAGACAGTGCGCACTTCTACTTCCTGAGGGGAGTTACCCTCTGGCTTCTACTTTTTATGTTTGGCACTGTTGCTATATTGTTACACTCTATTTTTCCCTAGGAAAAACCATAGTGTTTCCTTGATGTAACTGTCTTGTGCTCCATTTTTGTAAATTTCCAGTTTTGTAGTTTCTTACCACTGACGGCAAATCCCTGCATTTTCCAGGTGCCTTCTGGCTGGAGCAAAGGAGCCACTGGGCCACTGCCTCTCCCTTGGCAGCACAGAGAGCACTTAGCTCCTGCCTGGAGGCTTGTGAGGACTGACCCCTCCCAAGAAAGGGTCCTTCATCTCCTCTGCTACAGAAAGAGACCCACAAATGTCTGAAAAGACACCAGGTACCGACATGAAGAACCTTTTCATTATTTGTATTCCCTTTTCACTTATATCTCGGCTTCTCGGGAATGCTTGTTAGGGGATACACTGACTAACCAGGTTTCTAAAAACATAAATGTTTTTGAGGGGAGAAATAGGGACCTCTTATGGGAAAATAACAGCTTATTTAGATTTCCAAATAATTCTCCCTACTCCCATTTCCACATGGTCAGGTAAGTCTTAAAACATCACAGCTTCTCTCCTGCCCAGTCTCATGCCCCTCAGTTCAAAGGCACTGACTCTTATTTCCAGCTCTGGAATACATTACACATTTCAAGGCTTTTGCTGTGGTTCAAATAGCTCTGTATGGAACACAAAGCTATGTTGCCACACTAATACAGCAGTCACTGAATATTTATGACTTCATAGCAATACATCTGCAGTATTTGTGGGAGTGTTTTTAACAGAAATGTGGGTTTTCCCCCAGAGAACAGATAATTTCCTGAAAATGTTTAATCAACCCATTTAAAATAGAAAATAGATTTTTAATTAGCCTAAATCTAGAGGCTTTCAAGATTCTGTCATTATTTTAAAATCCCAACATCGTCTTTTTTGGCTTACTTTTATTTCTAATGGTTCACTTGGCACAATAATTTATTGAAATTGGAAAAATAATATAAGCCTTGAGGGCTTGAACATCAAATCCACTCCCCTCTTCCAAATTTGGGTGTCACATTAACATGTAGTTAAGGAGAAAAATTCATTTAAAGTTAGGAGATTTTTTTCTTTTTTTTTTTGTGCATGAAATAGGGCAAGTCATCTTTCATACTCATATCATTACATGCTCACTTAAATTTTGTATAATAACACTATGGGAATGCAGACCATTAATACCTAATAACCACATTTATTCCTTTGCTTTTGCTGTGTTAATGCAGTAGTGAGTGTTTTGGTTTTGGTCTGGATATTACTTACCTTAGGCAACTTACTAAACAAAACATAAATTCCTTGTAAACCAAATTCTTGTAATCACTTTATTGCATTAGTAGATAATTTTTAAAGCCAAACTATGTAAATCAGTACTAATTATCTTTACTGTGAGCACAATTATTTAAGCTAGTGATGAAATACAATTACTATTTCCAGGAAAGACAACTTTTTATACAAAGTTAATATCAAAAATTTTTAACAAAAAGGAAAAAAAAATTGTATTTATTATCACATCATAATCTTCATAACTTTTCACAATATTCCTTTTCTGTGCATAAAATCTACTTTTAAACAAATATCAAGCGTCATAAAAAAATTGGAATGATTTCAAAATTATTAACCAGGGCACGCAACACCTACTTACAGAAATTTTCAGCTGTCATCTTGAGGGGGGAGAACTAAAAGGCAAAGAAAAGATGTAAAATTCAGTGCTGACTTTACAAGGAATCTTATTAATTTTGCTTTAGTGATACTGGTCTTCTTCTAGAGTTGGCCCAGGCGAGAGATTCCAAGACGCTTGAAGTGCAGCGATGATCACACCGCCGTGTCACAGCAGGAGGGGCTGGAGTCTGAGGCTGTCAGGGCACAGCTGGAAGACGTGTGGGATACCAAGCAGATGAAACTGCTGTGCAGCTGGCTGAAGAGCTGCACTATAAGAAATAATGAAAAATGCCTGTTATTCAATGGACTGGGTCATGTTTGTTTAGAATAAGATCAAAGACTGTGTTTGTTGAAATGAGAGAATCAAAACCAGTCTATTCCTTCAGATCCACCAGCTGGATATCAATTCCATTATCCTCCTCGCACCTTGCATAAGGAATGTGATGATCTCTGGTAGGCATGAGCTAAGACAGCTAAGAACTTTGCACTGGAGTTAGAGACTCAGCTGTTTGAAGGGTCAAAATATTAGCAATAGAAAGGCAGGTCTTTAATGTTTATCTGCGATTTTTTTTAACAATCAAACACTCAAAAATCTCCCTGCAATTAGTCATAAAAAAAATGGTCTTGCTGAACAAGCATGAAGATAGAAAACAGCAAGAAAGCTGTCGAGAGGCCATAATTTGCAGAAGCAGAGAACCTTGGAGTTTGATGTGGATAATTCACAAACAGAATTGACTGAATGAGCTGGATAAATTGTATTTGCAAGTTCTCCCACATCTAATTCACTTTCTCTCTCCCACATAATGATTTTCTAAAGGTGACAGAAATCACCTATTCTGATCCCAAGGGTATCTCCCCTTGCAGGATTCATCTCACTTCAGCAATCCGAAATTTATAAGCAGCTCTGTTATTACCCAGGTGTTTGGAGGTTTGGTTTTTTTTTTTTTGTAATAGTTTTCCCCAGCTTTGGAGGCTTTTAAAATTCGAAGATTTTTTACTCATTAAGTGCAAGTGACTTCATCTCCACTCAAGGAAACAGCTCTGTTAGCAATGTCCATGTAGGAGTCAAACTGCCTCTTGAAGTAGTGATAATTTTTCATTCTCATGTCATGTCATAAGACTAATTTTTTGGTTCTAATTAAAACTTTGGAAGAGGGAGGCCTGAACAAGTGATTTAGAGAATAAGCAGCAGCGGAGGAGATACCTAGTGTTTGATAGTGTGGACACTGTACTCCAGTGAGCAGGTGGGCAGCTGGCTCCAGAAATGAGACATGGAAACACAGTTCTCACAAGAAGCAACTGTCCACTCCTTTACATGAGAGTACAGTGGCAGAAGAGACCTCACTGAAGATAATCCACTTTCAGTGCCAAAAACCTTTCCACTACAACAGTGCAACACTGATTCAGTTTGCCTCTCCAACTCTAACTTATCTAACAAAGCCTTTAAAATGACATTTTTTCTCAAGGAATAAATTGCATCATTTTGCTACTGTGAACAAATAGTACTTAATCCCTTTTGAAACTCTAATAATGCAAAATCATAAATACTCCTCACATCTAAAACGTTAGAGTTCAGTTTCAAAAAATTTCAGATCCTAAGCTCATCTGAAGGAAAGCAGACTGAAGAAGAGAATCAAACTCCGACTTTTGAACCTGTTCAGCACAGACTGTTCTTGCAGAGATGAACAAACTGAAAAATTTCAGTGCCTGAGAAAACCAAGGAATTGGGAATTTGGTAAAGATCTCAAGGAAAAGATTTTCACATGCATTAACAGAATGCTAACCTCCTTGCTCTTAGCCCTGAATTTTTAATGGAAGTCATCCTTCCATGCATAAGAAAGGTTGCATGACTATTTTTAGAGGAGTTAGGAAAACAAAATTTTCATCTGGACACATCCTTGCATCCATAGCTTTCAACTGTATTCAGTATGTTTGAATCTGTGCATGAAATCAGTATGCAGGACTAGACTCTAACACAGCTTTTAGTTGCATAAATGGCATTAGTTCCAATAACTAACAGAAACTCTCTTCAACTGCACCCACAGGTTAGCTTAGTGACTACATTTCTTGCTAATCTGCCCCACAGTAAGCAAGAACAGGCTGATATCTGATAAAAATTCTAGGACAAACCACACTGGGATGATTATGGTTTAACTTGTGAAATCAGAACTTCTGAGCTGCACTTCCATTCTCTTATTACATAAATGCACTCCGATGGAAAGCACTTCCACAAGCATTAGTTTCCATGACGAGTAACGTACGTCTGTGAGTGTGTGTGGCACACACTGATACACGTGCTCTTACCTCCGTTAATCAGGCATATGTCCCTTGTCTGTTGGGCTCCTAGTTGAAGACTAAAAAGAAATAGATGCAATCAATAGTCATTTATATCAGTAAGTTAGGTTGGTGCACAATGTCTTTAAAAAGTTGAAAAATTCAGAAAATACATACCTAGGATGAGTCATTTCTTATGTGTTTTACTTCAAATGTGAAGACAACACATGTCCCTGGGAGCAGGGGAGCAAGAGACATCCACAAAAATAAGCAGGTGTTGTGTGGGAGAATGACACGAGGTGGGTTTTGTACAAATCTTACTCCCAACAGCACGTCTGGTCTTTATGGCTGGCAATGAAGAGAGGCTGAGTGGAACACAAACATTCATTGCCTTGGTGAACCCCTCAGTCAACAGTGTGACTGTGAGCTTGCCCCAAGAATACCTGACTCACTGACAAAGAGGCAGGAACCTGATTTTTGTTATTTTCTTGATATTAAGTTTGAGCATCATGTGAAGCTTCAAAATACTTAAGAAATTGGAAGTAAGCCAGGCTAAAGGTGTAGCTTCACAAGTCCAACGGACACTATGGTAAACAACCAACGAGTAGGTATTTTAAAGACTAGAGGTCCTAACTGAAATGCATACTGTTGAAGTCATGAAGAAAAAAAGATACTTTTCTATGACTTCCTTACTCTCCACATATACAAAAGCTTGTATGTGCTTCAGGATCCCAAGTTATTTCAACTTTGTTAAGTGGGCTGACTAAAGAAGTTTGAGTGCCCACGGATTCAAATGTCAAAATTAAGGTCTTTGTTCATCTTCTATTGACCTAGCAGAGAAAACAGAAACTGGTTATTGTGCCCAAAATTAAGTGCTGTTTTTTGGGGTTTTCAAAGAACTCTACTTAGACACAACCTGCAAGCCAGAGTAGTATCAGTTGATGAATAAGCAATCTATTAGCAACTTGGACTGAAAACAAGTTGCTGATTAGAGTTGAGGAATGAAGCCAGACATTTAGGATAGTGAATGTAATCAATAACCTGTCAGTTTGTAAAAGGTGCATTGTGCTCTTTTGAGTGGTTTTTTTTTTTGGATGAAGCTGGGAAAGAGATTCGATCTTTGGCAGCTGGTTGGGTTATCTGCAAATTTGGAAATCAAAATCTGGAAGAAGAAATTCTGTGGAGGATGCCTTTACTGCAGTGGATGACCCGGCTACTTACAGTGCCTTCCAGGGGTGGCTCAGTATTAAACAGCCTATAGCAACAGCTAGTAAAGCTGCCCTTGGATATGAAGGCCACTTCAGTGTAAGTACCTATTGATTTTAACAGCTAAGAAATAAATGGTTAAAGTCATGATCCCTGTGGAAAAAGCTTTGACCTTTCCACAGCAGTACACTTACCTTGCATTTAGTCTTTTCTAAGACCTACCTTCATTTAAAACTATTATATAAGTTGCTGGCATTTAAATAACAACAACAACAATAATAATAAATCAAGCTGAACATTTGTTTAATGCAGTATTTGTCTTTTGAAATCCATCTGAGTTACAGTTTGTTTAATTGCTAGATAATGAGCAGCCATCAAAGACAGTGACACCTACTAGTCAGTTCTTGCTGCTATGTCAAGAGTGGAGAACAGAGCATCAGTTATTCCCAGTTTTGATGAGGAATCTTGCACTTTACTATGCATCCCTAAAGACCTTTGAACCCTTGTTCAAGGTTCTATAGAGATTAGCTATGAGGGGATAGCTCACTACAAGCAATGCAAACCATTTTACGTAGTTTCTGCAATCTTGGGCATATTTTTAGATGCTAGATGACTAAATCTGTGGGATGTGGCACATAAGGTGCCACAATGCAGCTGCAATAGAAGGCAGGTTTTGAAATCTCATTTTCATAGGTAATTCAAATGGCCAATGTTGTAGATAGAAATATTTAAAAACAGTATGATGCCTATGTGCTAATAAATATAGACCTGGAATGCATGTGGGAGGAAGCTGCATCGTTTTTTAAGACTTTAGAGGAAACTTGTCTAGTAATCCTTGTATAAATGGTCTCTCACCTGCTGCCATTCATTTTCTTAGTGGACATGCACAAACCCAAGACTCTCAAACCTTCAATTCTGTTGTTCTCTTCACTCTTCTGTCTCTCCTACTCTGTAATACTTTAGGGGTGGCAAGGCAGCTTTCCAATTAGTGTGCGAGCCTTGCTTACAGATAGTTTCCCATGGGCAATAGGCTACTTTGGTGGTGTACCCTAAAAAATCTGGGCTACTTAAATTGCAAAATGTGCCTTTTGTCCACAAATCTTCTACGTATTTCCCTGAAATTTTATTAGTTATTTGTTTTTGTTGGTTTTGCTCTGTTGGCTAACATCCTACTTTCTTGGAGAAAAAGAGAATATATTATCAATGTCTATGGGTCAGACCATATGTATGTTATACAGCATTGAGTGAAACCACTGTCTGTGCCTGCACCTTCTGCAAATGAACATTCTAGGCCTTACTGAGTTATTATTAAAATAGGTTTTTGTAGATATTTCACTCCAAGAGTGGCAGAACTTTTTGCTTTGCAGTTGATTTTTTTTGGGGTGTTATTCAGTCATATATTAAACTGTTGCAAACTGAGACATGAACTTTGTGATAGCATCAAATGTTATAATGGAAGACTGAACCAAGTGCCACTCTCATTAATAACTTTCATTACAGGGAAGCAAGATCAAACTTATCAAGAAACTAAAAATTATGTTCCACACTAATTTATAAGAGATATTTTCTTTTCTCATTAAAATAAAAGCAAATTCTTTTCCTACCAGGCTTCTGATGTGATCTCTTTAAATCCTCAATCAAGACTTCAAAAACTGTCTATGAAAAAGACTATGCAAATCCTTATTTCAAACATGGAATCCGGAGAGGGAGGCCCATGTTTTTAAAGGTACAGAATGGAGAGTTTGTATACAGATGTAAAAACTAGAATTCTTTAAACAAATCTAAGGACTGCTAACATTTTTATATACTGCTTTATTAAATGTGAAAAAACCCTCTCTCAGATTAATGCTCTCTGGTCTGCTTTCATTAGGAACTTTGAAGGAAAAAAGAACGTCATTGTCATTTTTGTTCCAGACAACGTATTTCCATCTGGAGTTAGGTACTGGTTTACTCAGATCCTTCTTAATTCTTGCCCTCACTATGCCTCCAGCTGTAGAGGAAGTCCTTATTTTCAAGCATTGAAATCTCTGATAGTGAAGTGCAGTTGGACAAGACAGGGGCCTCCATAATGATTCTTCCCACTGCATTTCTGCAGTGCTAAGCTGCAGATTTATATGCACCACAGCACAGTGTAACAGAGGGCAAAGAGGTTAAGATCAGAAGGGAACATAGTGACCATTATCTGAGTTACTGGATAATTTCACAAAATTTACAATTCTGGTGTTGATACTACATTTCTGCTGCTACAATTCAATAAATGAACTCTGGAGAGGGGGCACAGCTACACAGGCAGGATTGATCTGGCCTTAGAAAAACCCAGACAGATACTTTCCAAGAATCACCTTCACGCTGGCATGAGCTTTGCCTTGCCTATAGAATACAGGCTGGAGGTACAAATGCAGTGATCCCAAGCCCTTAGGCCCTGAGTGCCCTGTGAAGGCTTTTGATGCTGCACCCCAACCAGCCACAGAGGATATTAATGCTGAAATATCTGGACTGCAAAGCTGCCACTGGGGCAGCAAGAATTTCCCTTAATTAATTACAGTATCTCACAAGTCCACATAAATACAACGACGTGTAAGAGAATAATGAAAGCCCTACTGTGGATTATTTTCCTCTTTTGCAGTAAGGAAATAACACATTTAGGTGATAATTTTAAATAGCGATATACAAATGGTACTAAGTCCAATGTAAAAAAGAAACACTAATTTTCATTTCAGCACATGTACTGAATTTTACAGGAATCACAGGCCTAAAATCAATACCACTTAATATATTCTTTTCATAACAAGAGAAAACAGTTTCTAGGAAATGAAAATTATTTATACTGAACGACATTCAATCACAAAGAATCATAGAATATCCTGAGGTGGAAGGCATCCACAACGATCATCGAGTCCAGCTGCTGGCCCTACACAGGACAACCTCGAAAGTCCCATTTTCCCTCCAAAACAGAAAAAGGTATCTTGAATGACAAATGGTACACTTTTAATTAATGACTCACAATACTCATAAAAACTGCTGTAGCAGTGGAAAGTTCATCAAGAATTTGCAAGTGCCAATTGATGGCTGATTTACAAATAAAATACTGAAGTCATTAAGTAAATTGTTCTAAAGAAACCATCAACCCTAATTGTGATGATGCAGTAGGAAATGGGCTACAAAAAAGCTGAGCCACAGAGGCTTGGTAAATTTTCTGCCCCATTAACTCTCAGTGAGTTTGTCTCTTGGATGATATCTTGACTCTGCTGAAGGCCTGATTATGCTGCCATAACTTAAATGTGGTCAGATACAGAAAATGCTCATTACAAATTCAATGCCTGATCCAAAAGGCTTTGGATTGGACCTTTACAGTATACTTACAGTTCAAAGAGTTCTAAAAAGTGCAACTTTTTAGTTGCAGAAAAAGTGCAACTTACCATTCAGATTTTCATTTTCTTGTCTGTTTCCAATAGTGGTGTCTCTAGGGTGATGTACTTTTTCCTTTAAGTAAAAAACAAGCATAAAACCAACAGCAGAAAACAGTAACGGAAGTTCACGATAAAAACAATGAGTGACTACAAAAAGCTGAATTCTTTAGCATTCTGAACACCAAGCTTCTCTCTCCAGGAAAATAATTTTAAAAGACTGAAAAATGTCTGTGATGATAATTTTAGCATTTATACTTAAGTCTTGTGGAATTCCTTCCCCCCTCCCCCCCATCAGTAAGTTACATTGATTCTGGCATTAGATTACTGAGACTTAGGGGTTTGGGTTTTTTTTGTTCTGGACGAGCAATTTTCCCTCAAAAATCCAAGTGAAGACAGACAACTGCAGTGACAGCACGAAATAAATTCACCATGTTCATAGAGAGGCAACAACAAAAGACTTTTCTGTAGAACAAAACCAAAGAAAAGGAACAGAACCAAAGAAAAGTCACACATGCATTGCAGGGCATAAATGACCACTACAAAGTAGCTTTTTCTCTGGAGCAGTAAAAACACGCCAAGTAAATCCTTCTTGAAATACGACCATCTTATAGTTTACTAAGAAAAAAAAAAAGACTTATAGCTTAGTGCTGCTATAATGGCACAGATTAGATATCATCTTCCTCCACAACAAATTCTCTTGACTGATAGGGCAATATCCACAATTCATTTGTGTGCTTGGCTGCAGATGGATTTGGAAAGGGGCATCCACCACACTCTTGCACCACTGCCGAAGAGCTAGTGCCACGCTCCTGGTGCCAGGCCCAGGAACCAGGTTGCTAAACTCTTCTAGGCCCTTGCATTTTTGCTGTTAAGTTCCACTGTGATGACTAAGCTCAGACTATTTCTTCAGTAGATGCAAACACAAAGAGCATTTAATCTCTCCTTGTTGGCAGCATCTGACAGCTCTCCCACTCTGCAAAGTAGCAGACTAGCTTTGGTTTTCCTCTTTCTACTAAATGACTGAAAGGATAACAAAAAAATATTTTTCTTAATGCACGACTTCATATAAAATGAGGGCATAACCTCTTCCTCCATGTGTCTTTTTAGAAGTAATTAACAAACCTCCTCTCCATAGCCCGCAGCTTTGATGCAGTTCTTTCAGTGACTCAGTGTGTGGGCTTTTGTAAATCCTGTTTTTGTGCACCTCAATTTACTCCATACATTGAATACAAAGGAATTCTGAATTCCACTAAGTATATTCAAGATTTTCAGTTATGCATAAGCCTGGTTTAAGTTGGTATATATTAACTGACTATAATAAATGTATGCTTGATATGAGTTATGTTTTTGTTAGTCGACACTGCTCAATAGCACATTCAGCTCATTCGGTGATGTTAGGTTTGTGGTTTCTTGCAGGATGCAGAGACCTAAGCATCACCTAGCAGCTTCAAACAGAAGTCTTAGAAGATCAACATATTTAACTCGGTATTTTAACCAAAGGCAGCAGCACCTTAAGTCAGCCACAGTAAATTCAGAAAGTCTCTCAACTAATTAAACAACAGTGAAAATGGGTATCTAGTAAACTCAGAACCATAAATAACAAGCTCCTTGGGAGCTGATTGGCAGATAAACCATGACTCTTATTTCTGACCTCATGTGTAGGAGCCAAAATACAAGACTTCGTTTCTACAACTTCTGATCAAGATTCCTGTCAAGAAACAAATTTCAGATTCATACTTGTTGAGTGGATTGTAGTCTCTCTTTTTCCTTCTGCCACCGTTTAAATCTGTCCAGGGCTTCATCCACAGAAATTGCCCCCTTTTTCACCTGTTCCTGCAAGTGGATGAGTTCTTCCTGTTCAGCAGGGATGTTGTGTTTCACGATGCTGTAAGTTGCTTTGTCAGTGTGGCCTCTGTGTGCTACAACAAAATGTAGAAAGAGAGAAATAAGAAATGCAACAAATCAATGAGGATTCTACCATTACTCTTTGGCAGTAGACTAGCATCTTAAATATTTTGCTCATTACTACTGCCCTGGTCCATGGATTCTCCATTAGTGTTGGTTCATGCAAGAATTTCCTTCTAGCACTACATTTCCCTCTATCTCTACAGCTAGAGTACTGACATTTTGAAGGAAATTGTTGCTATGTTAAGACATAAAAAATATCCACAGTGCCTTTTTTCTCATTCCCTCTCCAACTTCACTGCAGTTCCCCAGTGCAGTAATAAATTAGTGATTGCATGCTGCTCTATATGATTTAATCCTGACCTGCTATTTGATAACTGAAGGAGGAGGAAATATCTTCGCTCAGTGTTCATTCATTTAGTACACAACACTGTTTATTATTTTAGGGTACCATTAATAGAATTTACAGTAGTAACATTTTGAAGTGCTGCAACTCAAATAACAACTGGACTGCCGTAAGTAATTAATTTTACATGGATCTTGGGGTACCCAGGAGAGAACTCTTGGTCCCCACACTGCCATCTTTCCATGGCTGGCACTAGTGCACAGCTGAGCCCTCTTGTTATTCCTTTTCTTGGTTTTAATCACAGTGACGAAAGGAAACAGAAAAATGTGAAGTAACTCTGACTCTACAAATCTTTCCTACAAGACCATAACTTTTATTCTTCTTTCTTTAATCTGATCTCTTAATGCTGCAATACCATTAAGGACATGAATCATAGGTGGCAAAACAGATGCTAAATTAGCCAAAATCAAGTCACAGCAAATCTCTGCTAGTTCTACTGAAAAATATCAAGGTAGTTAAAGAGCTAAGTTAAATTCTGTACCGGGTTTCTTGGCGACGCAATATGTCCTGTTGTTGTCACTGGTCACTCGAGTGGCCTTTTGCTGGAACACTGCAAAAAAATGAAGAATATAAGGAAGTTGAAAAATGGCAATTTTTTTTCACATTCTGAACAAAGGAAGTAGACTCATAAAAGCAAGCTGGAATAAATTTTTTGTTCTAGCCTAGAGTACTTTTCAACCCACTTGTCAGTCTAATGTTAATTACTTGAAAAATTGTTCTGGTGCACAGAATGGCAGGATTACTGATATCACAGATACCACGACAAAAAGCTTTGAAGAAAATAAAATGGACTTATCACCTAAACATGTTACTTATTTAGAAGAAATAGCTAGATCTCAGAGTTCTTCATATGGTACAGCCACTTACTGTAGCCTGTTTCTTAATTTATGGGGAAAGCTAAGGCACAAATGAACGAAACAGTACCAGGTGAGAATAATGATACTGCTAAAGAAAGACTATGTGTATATTTTTGTCTATTTTATTCAAGCACTAGAAACAGCAAAGCACAATCACTCCATTAGCATAGCCCATCATCCCCATTCCTGTGAACTGCCCAGAGTACAGCCAGCCTGGATATGGACTGAAATGCTACCGTCAAACTTTCACTGGCAGCAAGCACAGTAAAACCCAGAAGGTGGGAATTGCTCAGTTTCTGACTTAGCTGCTGCCACACAAGCGTTCTCTCTTAAGTCTCAGTTCTGATTTTAGCAAAACCAACTGACAATCTGGAATAATTCCTTCCAATTAAGTAATCCTCTGTCATCACTGCAATGCAGCAAATGTGCCAGTTCAATGGAGCAAATATTTGCTTGGGGACCAAGGCCCAGTACAACGGAGCTCTGCTCAAGCAGCATAACAGGCACATTTTGTGTGGCAGCCTGGAGTACTGGCTTCTTGCTCCTGCTGACCAGGGAAACCCAGTGGAGCTTGGTTTGCATCTTGTCTGCCTGTCCAGGGCTGCCTTGTACGATGCATCTGCTTCTCTCACAGCCACTTGTAAAATGGATGATCAAGACCACTGTGACACCTCAACTCAGCACAGGCCGCGTGCAGAGGTGAGGAATGAGCAGTTCATACGGGGTTATTTTCTACACTGCAGAACAAAGTTTTTATGCTACCTCCTGAGTAGGCTTGCATGGAAGGTGACAATGAATGAAAACAGCTAGGGACTTGATGTTCATTAAAAAAGTTCTCAGCCTAAACACAGAGAGAAAACACAGGCAGCATAAGCTGATGACGTTAAATCCCTAGCTCAGCCTAACACTGATAGATTTTAACTTTCGTAATACTTTTCTGTCATTCTCAAAGCATCCTGCTAAATATGGTTGCAGTGTTTTCTTCTACACTTGAAATAGTATTCTCCTTTAAAAGATGAAATTAAAGTAATGAGAACACAGACGTAATGCAGGCAGCCCGAATTTCACTGCATAAGCAGAAGGGACATACTCAACAGTGTGCCTGATTAGAAAGCACTTTAATTGATAGATTTTGAAATTTCTGCTGAGTTTTGCAGTGTTGGAGTAATCAGAAATGGAATTACTTCTCCAGTGAAAAGTAAAACTATTAAAACCACTTTACGTGCTGCATCTTGTTGGAATGATTTTAGCTGGCAGCAAGCATTCAGTGTGGGTGAGGTCAATGAAAACAAACGCCTGTTTCTGGAATGCCTGGAAAGACAGGCACACTCCACTATACAACCACCATAGGTTTAGAGAAGGCTCCAGCAAGTCACCCTTTCATTCCCACATTCTTATGAAGTACTTGAATACAAAAGTGACATAAAAGAAATGGGTCATCTTGCACAGGAACCATCATCTTCCACTATTTCTTTATGGAAGATAAGGTAAATATACCTTCAGTAAAGGAGGATTAATAAAGAAATTTTTTAAAGTGTCAAAATTCCACAATCCTTCATTTATATAGATATAATTTTTTTCTGTGCCTCTCTGCCATAGATAACCTGATTAAAAGGGTACAGTACTTCTATTATACTTTTATACTTAATGTGCACCCTTCAATTACATCTGTATGATCAGAGAGAGAGTCCTTTTGGATTTTTAATCATGTTGTGACTGGTTGAAGTACCCATAGATGCTTGTAGGTCAAAATCTACAAATTATATCTCCTGACCCTATATATGCTATATAATTTTTGTCTACAATGTATCTCTTCTTCTCTTGCAGTTTCTCAGAATTAAGGGAGGCTGAGAGAACTAATAAGTAATTTCATTTATTCCCTCCTCTCTCTTCAGCTGCTACAGGATACAGATGAAGTTCTTTGCAAGCCCTAAATACATTTTTATGCCTTAGGCAGAAAGATCATTCTTTAGGAATGTAATGCAACCTCAATATTCCTCCAGCAAAGCAAACTCAGAAAGCATGAAACTACTGCAATATTTTCTAGTAGGACTTGAAACCAGAAAACAACATTTAAAAAGTGGGACAAAACACAAATTTTGTGGCAAGTATGCAGAACTCTGGGAAAATCCCCAAAGTAAGGATTGGAAAGTGAGTGGGATCCATGGAACTCTGAATTGCCTTCTTCATCTCAATCAGAGTAGCTACAGATGTTGTTTCAGGCTGTCTGCACATGCAGGTAAATAATGCTACGATCTTGAAACGTGGTTAATATTTTCATGGTTATCACCACAAACAGAAGGGTTAGAAACAGTTGAAATCTAAGTCTCTTGTGCATAATTCTGTACTAAGAACAGTGTTTTATAGTGCAAGAAACTGTGCAGGGTGTAAAGGGTCTAGAGAGAGAGAGAGAATTTTTTACAACAGCTACAGGTTGACAGAAAGAACAGGAATCTGATTTTCAGAATTAACAGAGGTTCTAACACAAAGCTGTAATGGTAAGGAATCACAAATGCACTACGGCATTTCAAAAATTGCTTAGTGATGTAATTAGGAACACAGGCAATCAAAACGTGGAAGGAGTTAGATCGTGGGAGAGGAGAACTCATATCAGTCAGGAGGCAATGATTAACCACAATATGGTTTCTAATTTATATTTTACTTTACCCATCTAAACCATGAGGGATATTGCCTAATGTGCTGTACTGGCAGCATTACCTCTAAAAATCAAACAACAGTTTGCCACAACGCACTAGTGATTCAAACAAAGCTAGACTGATGAACCTACCCTCTGGAACAATATGTGAGCTAATCATACCTAATAGTTACATACTCAGTCCACACTTTCAGTAGCACAAACGCAAAGGAGAAAAGACACAGTGAAAAACGAAAAAAACAATCAATAAATATAACTTTTTTGAATTCAGCTTGCTTAGTAAATTCGAGATGCATTTATTCATCAGCTTCATTGAGTCGATGTTCCAAACAAAATTATCTATCATCATGACTATTTTATTTAGTAAACTTTTAAAACTAAAATACAGGGGAAAAAAATCTTTATATGAACACAAGACTAAGTGATAATTCAAATTAATTAATACACTAGGGTAACACTTATTAACACATATCAACTCAGATGCAAATTACAATGAATTTGTATGTTTCCTCCTTGTTCTTAGATGGTTTTTGCTTCATTCATTTTAGAATTGTCATGCAATTAACGAATGATTAATGGAAGAATAAAGAAGAAGGGGTGAATTGCTAGTTGGGATCTGTTGAACAGAGAGACTCCTATCTTTGTCCATTCTATTTTTCCCCATTATTTAAACATTTTAATATCTAAGCTGCGTATGCATAGTACCTAGGCAAAGAAAACTTGCAAGTTCTTTTTTTCTGGTAGGGATTAGATTGTAAATTAGATGTAGCACAGCAAGGGATGACAAATACACAGAGAATACTAAGGAAGAAATATAGTAGAATGATGCTTATTATTCAGGAGATGAGAACTCTGCAGATGTTTGTTCCCATCTTTTTAGATTTCATTTTCCTTTTGTCTGTTTTGTTTGCTAACACACTGAACCTCACTCAGCATGAGGACTAGAGAGAGGTCATCAATGCAATGCTAACCAGTAAGTTTTGTAAGAGATGACTAATGACCACTCCTAAAACTTCTACAGAATATTTCACATATTCCAGATTAAACCAAAAAATTCTAGTGACTCATAACATGAAATCAACTGAGGAAACGGGGCCCTGTAAAGAGACTTTTTTCAAGAGAAGGCAGCTGAGCACAGAACAAAAGTGCATCAGTATGCCTCATGAATCTGGTCTAATTATTGTGGACAAGGGATGGCTGTACAGTGCAAGGTAACAAAGACTCAAGTCCCAGAAGCTGTCCTGTCATAGCAGCATAGGTGTCTGAATGCACTTACACCATGACAAGGCAAAGGGAAAAAGTCTGTTTTAAGTGCACAAGAAAATGAGTGATCACATCTGAACTGGTACAGAAACTCTGATCTGGTCTAAATGTGCAGCCTGACACTCAAGACATTTTTGATAACACACAACAGTCATTTCATCAGAATAAAGACTAGGTGAGGTCAAATGCACTTGCAGAAATCTCATACTGCCACGTCGCTCTGTTACTTGCAGTGGCCCAATGCATGCTGCCTGAGTTTTTCAGCGGCAGCATCACATCCACTCATCACAACTTACACAGGCTATTGTCAGCCTCTACCTTGCACAGCTACTTAGTTGGCTGAGAATGAAAAATCCCATTTTCTCAGACCAAAAGCAGAATGGTTTTAAAAAGAATTACAGTGTAATAACAGTGTGAAAATATTAGTCCAGAAATAAACATATGTTCGTCAGCAATTCTCTTCCCAATTTTGCAGAGCATAAAAGCTCAAATCAGTTAGAATCCCAGAAAGTTTGGTCACAGAGGGACCTCAGGAGGTCCTGAGGTCATCAGAGACCTCATTACATAGAGATAACTCCCCTACACTGGGGCAAGATAATAATACCAGAACCCCTTTTTACAGAAGGGGTAAAGAATGAGTGAGAAGAATAGGTAATGGTAGTTAGTTCAAGATGCCGTTCAGAGAGTGGTGTCAATGTACTTGCTGTACCACACACAATGAAAAGAACTTTCACACCTTTGCTCGTTTTGGAAATTTAACTTAGTGGATCATGG